TGCGAGATCACGGTAACCAACCATACGATTGAGAACGTTTGTAGATTACTGTGCACACCTACAATCGTTACAAATATCTTTATGAGTACGCAAGTGAAATAAATTGAGATAATCATTTATTAATTTTTGTATAAAAGGGCTAAATGCCGTTATTTGGTTTTTACCTTTTCACCGTTTATTAAAAAAAATAAGATAGAGTTGCTTTCATTAAATGCAAATTCAAACATACCTTACCGGGAAAAATATGCCACACCAAAAACCTCCCCGACCATGGAAAATATCCCAGACCATAAATTTCTATTAAACAAGCCAAAACAAAAAAAAAATTGTTGTTATTAAATGATCACGTATATATATATATACATATACGTGAGGCGGAATAGCTCCTTTGCTCATGTTATGTTATTTCCATTGTCATATATTGTGTATTACGTTCATTTTTCAAAAATTTAAAATAAGCTTATTCATTTTCAATTCAATATTCACATACGATTCAACGAAATTTCGCATATGCTTTCGGAGCCCTTCGCAACGTTTGAGTGAACTATAAAGTGCGATATTCCGGAATTCAGGATTTAGTTTCTTCAGCACCCGCATCTTATTTTAATGACGATGTCGACGTTTCGCCAGAAATAAGAATCAGCATATCACCTGCGCTTTCAAATTGAATGATACTGAAGTGAAAGATATAAGGAATAATTTAAAAACTTTTCGTTCGTTTATATAACACGGGAGTAAATTGCAATTCATTTTAAACCACTATACTTTCTTTGTAGGTAAATTCATAGATCTTGTTGATCATTATTTTTTCGTTTATTTACAAAAAGATGTATAGGGTTAACGTCTCAGCAATCGAAAAACTGTACTCCTCCTTCGCGAGTAAACCTTATTCTGCTCAAGACACAACTTCCACTTTTTTTATATTTGCCGTAACAAAAAGGTTAACCTCACGGCTTGTTGCGGCGCTAACTAACAAAAAAGTGGAAAACATTACCCATTTCTAATTAAAATTGCCTGCACTCTATTACTTATTACTCGGAGAGCAATGTAACTTATAATTGCAATTTTTTTTTTTAAATGTGTACAAGGCATCTTTGTATTTTAGGATATGGAGTGCATTTGGTTTGTGTTATTTCACTTCATTTTACTTTATAAACAATTTATATAATTTGGTTTGCATTGCTTTAGTTCAATAGGAGCTTAGAAGTTTGTTGTTTTGATGTAAAGTAAAAAATGATTCTCAATAATTCCAAACATGTGAGAATAAGCGTTCACATTTGTTTACAATTTTTAATAATTGTCCAAGTATTTGTATAAAAATTGCCTACATGTGAGAATAAGCGTCCACAATTGTGTACAATTCGTAAAGGATCAACAAATGGTAAAAAGTCATCAGTCTTCTGGATGTGTTGCTTTGATCACCGACAAGCCTAATCCTCCCATTCTTATCGCAAGGTTTTTCTAATAAAGTACGAACGCGAACTTCTTTTTATCTACTAATTGATACAAAGTAACAATCTTGCAAACTTTGCGGGCGAAGTGAGAAAATTCTTCGGTGAGATTTAAGCCCATCCATTTTTTTTAAAGTTTGATGGAAATATGTCTCATCATCTTCCGGTAATTCTTCGTTAGTATGATACAAAGCCAACCCTCTTAAGTCGACTTCATTAACACGATCACTCTTGAACTATAAGGGAAGACCATCCCACATTTTTCAATGTTCGTATCTGTACTTATATTGTAATTATATTGTAATGTACTTACCCGAAAAGTATTGGAATCGTTTGATTTATTTTTTGAAAACCACTTGCTATTAATAAAATTTTACACCAAATGATTTTCCTTTTGAAAAAACAACTAAATATTTCGCAGACGTAAACAATTAATTTACAACTAAAGCTTGCGTAAAATGCGTATATAAAAAGATTTTAAAATAGCCAGTAGTAAGCAATATTTTTTACTTTTTTCTATATAAAAAGTATATAATATAAAATAATAATAATAATTTTATAAAAAAAAGAAAAATTTTAAATTTCGAAAATGTTTGAGATATAAGAAATAAATTCAGTTAAACTGATTCAAATAAAATAGGGATTATTGAGTTTGCTGTACATTCCTCTGTTTTCGCGCAAATTTAAAATGCCGAAATACTTCTACTTAGCCACTTTTGCCGAGAAATCTTGAACATTGCTATTTTTGCCATATAAGAACTTTAATGAACAGGGTGTTGTATGGGGATTCTTCGAAAAAGTGGACCGATCCCAACCATTTTTAATAGCGTTTGACCTTGGTTCAAAACAAGACACTGTACTTTCATCACTTTCATCAAAATATCTTAAAAATTGCGACCTATAGCTTGAATACAAATTTACATGGACAAATGGACAAACAGGCTTAGATCAATTCCATACACTGTAACACAAGTAGTGTAGGGTACAGGAATAAAGCGGTAATGGAAAGCTAAAAAGAATAAATAAATAACTCAGCGGTACAAAAAATAAATAATAGAAGTAAATCCGAAGGTCAATATAGAAATGGAATTGCAATGTTTTTTTACGTAACAACAATAGCAACGAAAAATATGCCAATTATATATAGTGCAGGCTTTGAATCAATTGATTCGATATAAGTAGATAGATGCGAGACAGAAACCTCTTTCTAACTTGGAAAACTAATGATAACAACAATTACTCATTTGCAGTTTTTCTCTTTGTGTCCATTCTGCTGATGTCTGCCTTGCTGATTATTTTCCTTTTGCTGACTTCTTTTCTGTTGGCTCTTCCGTCGGTATGCATTCATTTCCCGTGGCTGCTTGACCGTTAACATATGTGTTTTTACCGATCTTGACTATTTGTAAATAGTAGCCTCCTTTGTTTTATTGTTGAAATCGTTTTCTTCTATTATGCCCTGAGCTGAAAGGGCAAAGGGCAAAGGGCAAAAACTCTGCAAAGCTAATGAGGAAATCTTCATTTCATTTTTTAAATATTTTGAATTGTACCCACATGACCGTAAGAGTCAATTTCATCATCGTCCCTTAATTGGGGTACAAAAAATGCGATATGTGGCATTTTTGCTAAAGTATCGCAGTCCTCGCATTTTAGCGTTATCTGCGCCTGCTCATAATAATTCCGAAAGTAAAAATTTTGAAAAAGAAACGTATCATCATACACTCGATTTGTGTGTTACGTACGGAAAAATAGAATCAAAAAACAAGTAAAGAATTAAATTCGGTCGGGACGGAATCTTTTACATCCATCATCGTCTACCCCAAAAAATTCTCATGCTGTGTGATATGGAGTGGGCGTAGTTGATTTTTTCTATTTTCAAAATGAAAGTTTTTGTCGTAGAGGTCTAGAGGGTTTGAAAAGTTTAGGCGATATTTTCACTTTCGCTAACGAGAGAATGTTTGCCACAAACACTACCAAGTTCCGCAAGCAGACAGATGAACAGCGGAACAGACGGACATGTTTATGTGTATTGCAAACTTGAACTTGGGCAAGAATTTATATACTTTATATGGTTTCTGAAACTTGCCTCTTCGTGTTCTAAAGGTATTGAAAAAACAATTAAATTTTGATACACTAGAATATTGGTTAGGCGTGCATATAGCTTCCATATAGGTATACGTTAGCTATAGTTAACTGTAAGCAGTATTACCCAATATATATATATATATATATGTATATTTATGTTACAATACACTCATGGGATAATGTGCGTGCCAGCTTGTAACACGCACGAGTATAGCAATATAGCATTGCAATGGAACAGTGACGATGACGGCAGCTAAAAAAGTGCTTAGTATAACACACTCGGCTTCTCAACTGTATTATGGCATCCCACAAGGTAAGTGTTTATCGAAAAAACAATTCATTTTATTTTGACTTTACTGATAGGGGATGGCAGGCTTAGCGTAGCCGCTGTCTTTGAACAACGGAGAGGACTACCTGGCTTTACCGATAAGGGATGGCAAGCTTAGCGTTGCCGCTGCTATCCCTGAATGACTCTTTGAATCGTTAGGAACAATAAAATCGACCAAGGAGACATGTAGAAAGGAGTAACTGACCCTAATGGTCTGTAAGATTGGCTGCCGTAATTGTGGGTTTTGCACACAGACCTTCCAACGTACATTATAGTTGGTAATAAATTTACAATATTTTATATTTACATTATTTTAGTACCAAATATTTTTACTTATGAGATTTTTTTGCTCACCATTTTTTGAATTTATCGAAATGTCTTAAAACTTTGCTAAAATTCATTAAAATAAAAATTGTCGGATTGTATGTAGATTTTATTAGCCTACTGTAAATACATATGTATTTATAAACAATGTATCTATAAACAATGATAACAATTGAATAAGCCTAGCCGTGTTGATAACATTCTTTAATTCGTTTCGTTTAGTTTCGCGTTCAAATGCACGTATACATTTTTGTTTAAAATCATTTTTAAAGAAGCCGTCACAAGATTAATTCAAATATTTGATTCAGAGCCCATACCCATCTTATTTCAAAAATTCAATTTCAAGATTTTAGACTTAAGCAGAAAGAAGGAAATGTCGTTAAAAAATTAATTATAAAAGCATTTTTTAACCTTTCAATGGATGAAGAAACCTCTTTCGTCAAATCAAATGAAGGTTACAATCTCATTAAAAGTGATAAATTTATCTCATGTATTAGTGACATTTTAAAAAAATATTTAAAATTTATCGCTATTTTCAAGAAGCCATAGTTTAAATTCCACAAAAATTATCTATATATTAAAGCTAAAGTATTCTATTGTAGTCTCTTTTTTTCCACTTCATTGCTGTTATTGTTGTCATTTTTACCGGTCGCTTAGCTGCTGTGACATTTGCTGATTAGTTGTCATCTATCATCAACGAAATTGTCTTTCCCTCCAGAACCAGTCAGAACTGTGTTTGCATTCACGGCTACATATAAGTGTTGCTTGCTTCCATGACCAAACACTCATTCAAACATTTCTGTAGTCTTGCTATGTTAGAACGCTAGTCCTTGATCACGATATGCATCAGCCAATGCTAAGCCTTTATTACTATTTTCTTCTTTTTCAATTTTTTTATTATTCAACATAACACAGTCTCGCATCTTCAATATAAGAATAAAAGCATGTAAAGTATACACTAAACGAACTTCTTCTCCGCTCGTTAAAGTACGATGAGGACAATAAAGATCTTTATACACGTTGACAATGGAAAATGATTCGTTTTGCAATTCGCTAGTGAAAGTTGCACACCAACAGCCTCTAGATCAGTAGCTGTCTCCAGTGTTTTAGGTAGATTTTCATCGATGTAAATTATTTGATCGTTGTCTTTACTTTTAGGTATAAGCGCGTGAAAGCATTCTAACTGAGGCCATCTCATGGTTTTGTTAAATTTCTCTCTAGACCCCACCATTAATTTTTCTACATATTCCGCATCCAATTCATGATTATGCTCTTTAAAACGGTTAGAAGGCGGTAATAATCTTTTCAAATGTGCGTGCTCTTTGCCCGAAATGTTACTCTGATTTAGTTTAGATTGTTGTTTGCTTAATGCACGATCCTGCGACTTCGAAGCTAACAAGGTTGGCAGAGCTTCTTTAAAAGATGGCCGTTTTTTAGCTAAAAGGATAACAAGTTCATTTAAGGCAGTTCACTCAAGTTCACTTTCATGTTGGCTTACTTGCTACACCCAATTCATTGACTAAACTTTGGAAATGATCTCCTTGCTCCTCCTGTTCAGCGATTTCCTCTGGAATCTGGCTTAAATTGTGGTACTTTAAGGTACTCTTTTCTAAGTCAATTTGTTTCTTTAGTACTTCAACTGCAGAACTACTCCGATGCTGGAATTTACTATTTAAATGTCTTTTACCAAACGTTTCCTCCATAGTTTTATTTCGTATTAGTTGAAGCAATTTTTTAATGTTGATTTCCAATGACTAAACCAACAACTATTTGTTTAATTTTTTTGTTTTGGGTTGTTTAGCGAAGATGGACTAACATTTTATAACCAAGTATTTTAGTCGGAATATATCGTCGTTTTTAAAATTTTTGAGAGTAAGAGAATAAAATCTGCTCTGCTTTGGGAGAAAAAGCCGTTTAAAAAAAATGTAAAAGAAAATTTTATAAGAACACAAAGCAAAGTAAGTTTTACTCTCAAAAAGGAAAATTGGTAAATAACGAAACAAACTACACATATTTTGAATAATTAAAAAGAAGTTTTTTAAATATAGGGAAAAAAATACATTCAATAAGTAAATGACTTTGTATTTAGTTAATATTTAACAATTGTATATAGTTTTAGAGTATATTTTCAATTTCTAATCATAATAATTCAAACAATTCAATCTTACATCAATCTTAGCTTTTATACTTTTTTTTTTCTTGATGTTAATAACACTTCGCTAAAAGACGATTTAATAAAGTTTGCCTCGATTTATTAGTGGTATTAGTTACAAACCTTATTGCCACTCCCGGATCGCGTAATCTGAGGGAATAAAAAGCAAGTAAAGTCGGCATTTTTATGCGAATTGTTTACAACACTATACCTTTTTAGAGCCTCTACTGCATTTGGTGTGGGTTGATCTTCTACGTGCAAAGAGCTTTTATTGTATATAGCGTTGGCGTTCCTCTCTTTATCTCTAAATAAGATTTTCGCTTTACTAGCTATTTCCACTTCGTTATTATATTATAGATTGGCCAACAATTTTGGGGATATGCATTAAAAATTCGCACAGGCCCGATTACATGTTGAATTTGAATGGAATGTTCCGGCGTTAATATGCACTCAGAATTATCGAATGGAGAACGAAAATTAACACCGTTTTCATCGATTTCAGCCAATTTCAAAAGTGAAACCATTTGAAAGCCTCCAGAATCCGTAGAGCTTTAGACCAAGCCATAAACTTATGTAAGTCGCCTGCCTTTCCAATATATCAATACCAGGACGCAAGCCCAAATGATAAGTATTACTTAGCAATATTTTACAGTCTAAATCTTCTAGCTGATCAGGCAAGACACCTTTCAAAGTCCTAGTGGTGCCAACGGGCATGAAACTGGTGTTTCAACATCACTATGACACAAAGACATTATAGCACCTCTGGCTTTTGAAACAGAGCAATCGGCTATAATTTTATACGTCAGCGGCGGTACTTTTGTGCACTCATTGCATTTCCGACAGTTTTACTTATACAGTTTTGTTTTTTACTGTTCACTTTGCTGGATCAATGTAAAGATCTCATTAATAAAAGAAACCAGAGCGTACACTTATTCCCGACACTATTTAATTGCAACTGTTTTTCATTTGAATTCGCTATACCACCCATTGATTTGTAAACAATTGCATCTATTTTTCATTTGAATTCGCTATACCACACATTGATTCAAAAATTTTTTAAATTCTATCCAGTACACATTGATGTGAAAATCAAGTCAGTGAAAATAAGAAAATATTTTATTTGTATATAGCAATATTAAAAGTTTGCTTATAATCGGAGCTATAACTTTCTAAACTTGGACATAAGCAATGGCTGAGTCCTTGAGTAAAATATATGGAATACATTTTAAGCAACATTTGCTAATGTAATGCCTTTTCAGTAATTATTCAATTATTCTAGCTCAGAGCGACAAGCCCGGCTCTCCTGAACCAGCTGGCTACGGTCCAAGCAATATTTCTTTGATAAGACGGAGCAGCCCTCAATCCAGCTTGTTATCGCGAAATGGCCCACGTTGGAATAAATCATGGGTGCCACCTTCGAACCATTACAATTGCTTGAATTATCAACCTGGAAAGAAAGCTCCTTCTTACTCATTTGGACAACGAATTTCATCACGTTCCTCCCCTCTAACCATTTCTGCTTAAATTCAATGTTTACGTATTTTTTAAAGTTATCAATATTAAAAAAAAAACCCGTTAGTTAAAACCCAAGGCATAAGTTAACACGAATTCATCGAGCGCGCAAGTTGCAATTGTATTGTTATGGCTTTCTCTCCGTCTTCCATGTACTAATTTCACACGCAAGAAGCAAGGAGTATACGAAATTAGTTACCTATTTTAAATACAAGTGCCTGCCACTGTCTAAGATTAAGGAAAGTCCACATTTGGGAAAGATCGGCTAAAACCGAAGGGGGCTTTGTGGAAGCTATAGATAACTGATTAAAAGTAATTCATGAATGTAGGATTCTGTGTAGATGTAGCAAATATAATATGGTGCTTAAGAACGCTCCTTAGCTTAGTTTTTAACCGCTGACCACCAAGTTTCAAGTAGAACGCTGTCGCGTTTAACACACCTTAACGAATAGATTAATTTGAAGATGAGGTCATGGTAATCAATTCGACTTTGAAATGTTAACAAAATCACTCTATGCATGCACTCTATCTTTGTACGCAAGGACTGCTCCTTCGCTAAATTTAACACCTAATTAGGCAATTGTCCCGCTTTTCCGACATATTTAGCAAAAAAATTGTACTTTGTTACATATAAATTCACATATTAAGCAGTTTGACCAGTTCGTGCATGGCGAATATATGCGTCATGGTACGCCCATTGGTCCTTGCCGGACTTCGGAATGTGCATTTGCTATAAATAATATTGTATTTATGAAAGTGTTTTTGTCATTTTGTCGAGTCATTTCATGACAACTTAGTTTCATGTTACACATGCTCCGTGCGTGGCGCGAGAGGGAGGAGACCATCGTATAAGAAACCAAAAGAACTCCTAATATCATCAAGCCTGTGACATCTAAAAATTAGATGCTCAGCAGACTCGCTAATATTACAAACTTCAAAAATATCACATGGTATAGCGCGAATTATTTTTAAATACACTTTATCGTAAGTGTGACCATCAATTCATCACTCACTACTAAACTTTGGTTTGCAATTGGGGCGAACATTTATTTTGCCCAGATGTTTTTTGTTTGCAAAACGTGGTCAATAAAATACATAGTTCGCCGTTTTTGCAGAAACATTGGGAACAATAAATATACAGACCCTCGTCTTTGCGGAAACAAAAACAAATGTTTTTTTATTTCAAGGTCATGTTTTGTATTGGTATTGGTTTGTTTATATTTTTTTTTGTATATAAAAGAGGAAAGCCACATCTCTATTGGCTTAGTCCATCTCCATTCAACATACAAAAAAAAAAAAAAGAAGAGGAATGCCTGTGCAATTAATCTCAGTATTTAATTAGATCTTAACGAATTAATATATCTTCGTTATTAAATACAATCAATTCAAATTAAAAGACGCAAGAGCAGGTTGATGCAAATTTGGCAAAATTTCGCTTATGATCCCATAGATTGGGATTATTTGACATCAGCAGAAGCTTCAAATTTTTTGTGGATCTTTTACAAATTCCTAATGAGAACCTGCGATTATACTGTACAGCCGGGTTGTGTAACATATGTTTTTACTAAGGGATGGAAACCGCAAACTGTAATGTTATTGCTGACGCCGGCCAGCGATTCTTCGGCTTATAGACTTATAGACCTATCTGCAATGGATAAAGTCTGCGAAAAAATAATTTGTAATCCCATAGAAGAATGGTTAAATAACAATGAGGGGGCGTCTAAATATCAATTTGGACTCGGAAACAGAAAATGCACGTCAGATACTATTCAGACAGTGGCTTCTGCATCGGCCGCAGCTGTATAAAGAGGACGCTGGAAGGGCGCGAACTCCCTTGTGGTAGTGCTGCATGTCAAAAATGCCTTCGATTTCGCCAAATCACTACATATAATAGTGGTATAGGAAGAGCGGTATTTGAAGGGCCCTAAAACTCCCTTTAGTAATAATGTATTAGCGGATAGTAAGTAATAACAATATTTGAAAGTTTACAGAAGCACCATGTGAATTAGAAATATACGAAATATCTTCCGTCATACAAATCGTACCAGAAATGATCAAATTTTCAAATTCTAATAATTGCAAGAATGTAGATATAAGCTCAAAAGAAACATTTCTTATAAGAGGTAAGGAAAGGTAATATTAAAATTTATGACACATTTGTTTTGACTACATGCTTACAAAAATTAAACGACCAAACAATGTAACGAAATTGCATATAAAGCTTGAGAATTTAAATGTGAAACATTTACAACATGAAAATAACATTAAATTACTATTAGACGAAAATAAAAATACACGTAATAAGCCTAGTTAAATACAAGAATTATATTATTTTCATTATTACATTTATTCTTATCTCCATCACCAAGTATAAGGTCAACAATTTCCACAAATTTTAACAGCATCCACGGCTAACGAAATTGATTTGGGACAATCGACTTGCGAGTTAACTCAAATTTAGTCAACGGGCCAAACTGGGCAAACAAAATAGAAAAGTAGACATGAAAAACAACAACTTCGCACCTTTCCGATTAATGCACAAAAATGAGGACCAGTGTCTGGGATGGAAGAAGTAAATGTTAGGGAAAAGTGATAGCAAATGGAAACATATGATAGAAAATTCTCATTAACATAAATTAAGCAACAAAAACAAATTAACTTTTAAATAGAAACTCTAGTACATGATGCCTTCTCAATCTTCTTCTCTCATCTGGGGGAGATGTTGTTAAAGGTCTAAATAGATGTTTTCACGAAAGTCATTGAATTGGATTTTTAATAAATGAAAAATCCAATCCATTATGAATAGTTTTGTTTAGTTTAACAATAGGACGCAGAATTTTAGGTTAAGTTTTAAGTTTTGGAGTGTTTGGACATTGGCTTTACTGCTACCGCCCCACAATTATATGCGTTTGGTCCAAACAGGTTGGAGCATAAATACATTTATTTCTTAGGTTAAGTTGAGTTTCAGGATGACCTTCTGATTTTTAAGCCAAGTTGCTGACGTTTAATTTTTAAATAATTCTTCATTCTGAATCTTGGCCAATATGTAATCCAAGATTCATTCATTCATTTCACACAGCTGTTGACAACGGCTTTATTTCTATTTAAAAATAATTAAGGATAAGAAGTTTTATTTAACGTGAGCATTAAACGAACACATTTTTCAGTATTTTATTTAATATTTCATTTGTTCAGCTGAAGCGAAAGTTTCTTGATTTGAATTTGTAGTTCTCAGTAGGAAGTATTCATGGGGTAACTAGATAAAAATAGGGTTGTGGCGTCATCTGCGTGCATCTGTCGCAGTTAAAATATTTTCAGCAAATACGAAATCTGAAGTGAAAATTGTATAGATTATTGAACTTAAACCGGTTTCCCCGAATACCACGCCTAGAATTTTGTATATATTAGATCTTCTATATTCCTTTTAACATAGAAATGTCTATTTTGCAAATAGAACTTGAGCTGCAAATACATAGTAGTTGATAGAAATTTTTTAAGTAACTTTATGGAACTTTTTTATGGGTGGAAACAGTAACCCATCTTGGCAGATTTTATCAAAAGTCTTTTCCACATCTATGAGTCCAACACCGCAGTAATTTTTGTTTTCAATTTCTTCTTTGTTACACAAAATG